CTTCCCAGGCTCCCCAGGGTCCGCGCGGGAAGCCCTGCCTTCCTCGTTGGAGGCCTCCATCGCCCGGCCAATGGCTTCTGTTTTTGAGTCTCTTCCAGGTCAGCCTGGAAAAGAACATACTCAGGAATGGGCCTCTGCCTTCAGATAGCCAAGGAGCTGGCCTGGGACAAGGGAGACGGTGGCTCTGGAGTCCCAGAGGACAGAGCCGGGACCAGGGGCGGAGAGCGAGGGGCGGCAGGGCCGTGGGGGCCTGCGGGGCGAAGCAGGAGGCGCTTTCTGTCTTCGAGGGCTGACGAAGGCGGAAGAAACCAGCTGGGGAGAAAGGGAGCGCCCTCTGCAGGGGGACCGGCCCGTCACCAGCTGCCCTCCGGGTTCACCGCTTCCCGTGCGGGGTGCGGTTTCTCCCGTGGCCGCCTCAGGCCCCTCTGTGGGCTAGGAGGGGGCGCTGAGGAGGGACACTCGGCCGTCCTCCTGGGGGCGGGATATGTGCATTTTAGCAGCAGGTGTGTTCCAGGGTCGGGGAGCACTCTTAGCATCCTTCCCTCTACTCAGCTCCCAGCCTCCTCCGGGCGGCCCTCCTGCAGTCTCACCCCCTCCAGTCAGGATGCGACTCCTCTGTCCCGGTGTCCATCTCCCCACAGGGTCCAGCCTCACCCTCTTGTCTGGCCTCCTCTCCCCTGTCATATTCCAGTCTACCTTCCTGCAGGCTGCTTCAGGCTCCTCCCCACTGAACACCTACCTGTGGCACTGCCTTTCTGGCTTGAAATGCCGCCCCCCCACCCTAGCCTGGTCAAAGACTTTTCTCTTTAAGGCCCAATTCAAAAGCCTCTTCCTCCAGGAAGCCTTCTCTGGTTGATCCCCAAGCCCCAAGTACCTCGTTTTCTGCCACTACTTGCACAGAGTGAGACCTGGCACATAGTAGGTCCTCAAAGAAAGGCCCGCTTGATGCCAGTGATAACTATGGTGTGAGGACGGCAAGAGGCAGACCAGGCAGTGAGAGGAAGCAGTGCCAGCTCTGGCCCCACGGCCCTAGCCCGTGATTGTCCTCCAGCGGCCTCAGCGGCTGTGCTGTGGTGGGGATGGCTGTACTGCTTGCTGGGGGGTCGGAGGTGAATCAGACAAGAGAGCAGTGCCCCTGGCACAGAAATGACTCCCAAGTTACCGTTCCTAAAGAGAAGCATTTGCAGCCGCGTTCCTCATGGACCTGAGTGTTCTCCAGTCCCTCCATGGGAATGCCGTGGAGGCATCGTGCACTCCCTGAGGCAGCCTGGAGCCACTGCCCCCGGGCCAGGAGGGAGGTGATGGTGGCCCCTGGGAGCAGCTCGGCCTGGCCCTGGCGGCGTCCCGAGTGGCCCCTGAGCAGGCCCCCTGCGTCCTCTGAGGAGCTCCATGAGCTTCCCCCCGTACCAGGCCCTACCCCAGCCTTTACTGCCCTCATCCTTCATCCTCACCCCCCTCCCACATCCTGCTACTGTTGCCATTTTGTGGATGAGGAAACTCCGGCCGCAGTTGGCACATAGTAGGTGCTGCCGCAGAGATTCGAGCTCAGGAAGCCGGCCAGCCCGCCGCCTGGCCTCTCCTGCACTGTGCGGCACACCCTGCAGTCCCCGAGGGCGCCCGCGGCCACGGCACCACTGCGGTGGGACAGGCCGCGCTCGCTGTCCAGGCTGAGGCCTGCCCCGCAGTGCCCCTCCCAGTGCCGGCTCTGCCTTCTGGGCCTTGTTGGCCCACCGCGGAGGGGCAGGTGGCAGCCCTGCAGGCCAGGCTCCGGCTCCTGCACCGGGTCCAGGGTGCTCCACGCGCGGGGAGCAGAGCAGACGATCTCCTGAGTTCGGGCCTGTGTCCCCGTGGAGCAGAGCCTGTTGCTGGCCGGTGGCTGCCTGATGGACCAAAGGGCGGCGGTGGCCCCCTGACTCCACGTGTCCCTGGCCTGGTTGGGCTGTGCGTGGCCCGTGAGCCGCCCACCAGACTGGCTAGTGTGTTGGTGTGGGACCTGCGCAGCTGCGACCGCCCCGAGACAGGTGTGCCTGCAGCAGAGGACGAGGACAAGGACGAGGGGCGGCTGTCTGGGCGCCGCGGACACTGCGGACCTGGGACCACGCTGGCCTCCGGCCCCGAGGGGCTGCCCTCCCAAGCTGCCAGGCCCGAAGCCCCCTCTCTGGCTGGCCGAGCTGGGAGGGGAGGCAGAGACCGGAGGGGCCCCTGGGCTGTGTGCTCCCTTCCGGCCTGACAGTCGGCTCTTGAGAAGCCTCAGGGCAGGAACGGGTGCGGCCCTGGGCCCGAGTGGAGGGAAGGGCCCTGGCGGAGACTGGGTGTGCCGGGCAAAGCCAGCCCTGCTCAGGCCCTGGGCCCAGGAAGTGATCCAGAGAAGGGAAAGCCCGTGTTCTGCATGGACACTGACTCAGAGCGGGCTGGAGCTCCCTCGGAGCACAGTTCAGTCCCCCGCAGGCTCACACTTGGGAGCCAGAGCCCTGGCTCCCGCCCCGCCCCTTCCCCCCCCCCCCCCCCGCCCCCCAGCGACCCTGGGCAAGCCCCTCCTCCGCTCTGGGGCCCGCCATCCATTAGTGGGAGCCATTAGTGATGCGTGCCACGGGTGCCGGATGAGAGGGCTCTCCTGTGTGCTCACCATCGTGGCCTCAGAGCCCTGCAAGCTCTGCAGTCTTATGACAAATTTTTGGAACCCTGGAAAGACCCATCTTTTCTGAAAGCCTGGAGTTCTGTTCTTAAGTACCTTTTTTATGGCAAAACTTACACAGTTTTTATAGAAAGTTTGGGAAATTTTTAAAAAATGCAGAATTTGATAAAAGCCACTAATTTGTCCCACCATCTGGAGATGACCATGCTTAACATTTTGGGGCATTTTGATATGCACATGGACGTGTGTGTGCTCACCTGTGTGCATAGAATCATAGCTGCTCGTTTGAGCACTTACTACAGGTCATCACTGGAGAGCGTTTCAGGCACAGCGTCTCGTTTTACTCTCATACGATCCTGCAAGGAGGGGTTATTCACTCTACAGATGAGGGAAAGGCCTGCAAAGTCTGAGCAGGTGCATGACACAGTCGGATTTCAGGTTTTGAAAGCTCACCTGACGACAGCGTGCCAGTGGCCTGGAGGCTGGGCCAAAGGTCTGAGCCGGCCATAGGCGCCGTGTGCTCCCTTCAGGGCCCCGGCTCAGGGGCTGCCCAGCCGCAGGGGGCAGGCAGTGTGTCCCTCTCTTCCCTGTCCAGGGGCTCATTGTTTCCAGCCACGGAGGAGACAGAACCAGCTGCAAGAAATGGAGCTTTTCCCCAGCTCCCCACACGCCACTGGGAAACGGCGCACGTCCACATTCTTTCCTTTCTTTCTCTCTCTCTTTCTGACTGTATGTGAGGGTGTAATTATTTTTTCTGAACCCTTTGAGAGTTCAGGACGTCTTTGTCCTTTCTCCCTAAATCGTTGACTTTTTCCTAAAAAGAAGAATATTCTCTTACATAACCACTGTACCTTATCAACTCCACTGAGTTTAACATTGCAACAATACTTTAATCTGACGTTCATGTTCCAGTTTATCAAATAATGTCCTCCATAGGGTTCCCTCCTCCACTACGGGATCCGGGGTGGGGCGAGGTGTCTAACAACCTTTCCTGAGGGGTGAGAGCTGAACTGGGGAGAGTGTATCTGAAGGGGAGCCCAGGGTGGGGGGTGTGGACGAAGGCTGCGTTGGTGGGCAGAGGGCCCGGTTCCTGGCCCCTGTTCTGCCAGGACCATGCAGTGGGACGTGTAAAATGAATGCATTGGTCCCTGCCAGCTCCGCGTTTCTGTGACTGAACCGGTGTGGTTGCCGCATGACCCGGGAAATCCAAGTCTCCCTGTGCAGTTGGAGAGCCCAGCTTCAGGGCTGTCGGCATGGGCTGTGGGCCCTGTGTGTCACCCGGCACCTCATGGGGATTCTCAGCAGGAAAGAGGGAAAGGGAAGGAAGTGCCTTTTCTTTCTAATTGAAATAGAATTCACATACTATAAGATTCACCCTTTAAAGTGTACGATTCGGTGGGTTTTAATATATTCACACGGTTGGTTGTGCAACATCACCACTATCTAATTTCAAAAATAATTTCATCACTCCAAAAGGAAACCCCAGAACCGCGAGCAGCCACTCCCCCTGCCCCCTCCCCCAGCCCTAGGCAGCCACCAGTCTGCTTCCAGTCTCTCTGGATTTACTTATTCGGGATTTTTCATATCATCAGTCAGGGTTCTGAACGCCAGGGACCAGGGAGTGTGTTAATTTGCTCAAGCAATGAAACCACATCTGGTACCTCATCTAAGTGGAGTCACGCAGTATCTGGTGGCTTTTCACGTCTGCCTTCTTTCACTTAGCATAACGTTCTCAAGGGTCATCCATGTTGTAACATGTATCAGTACTTCCTTCCTTCTTTGGCTGAATGATATTTCATTGTGTGAATATCCTACGTTTGTCTATCCAGTTGTCCGTTTGGCTGTTTCCACCTTGTGGCCATTATGAGAAACGCTGCTGTGAACACTGGTGCACGCGCTTTTTGTGGAGCCGTGTTGTCAGTTCTCTTGGGGATGTACCTGGGAGTGGAACTGCTGGGTCACGGGGCGCCTCTGCGTTCAGCCTTTTGATGAGCGGCCAGCCTGTTTCCCAAAGTGGCTGCACCGTGTTGCATTCCCGCCAGCAGTGTCTGGGGAAGGTCTTTTCACTGAACACCTGCACTGCGCTCGGCCCTTTGCACACCTCCTCTCCTGCGCTCCTCACACGAACCGTGTGAAACACCCATTGCTGCCTCCGTTTCACCGAGGAGGACACTGAGGCTCCCAGAAGTGATGTGACACCCCCAGGGTCACACAGGGAGCAATGGCAAGTGCTAGATTCACCCCAGTTCTGTCCCGTGCATTTTCCAGTCTGCTCGGGGATTGTTGACTGCCCGAGTGACTGTCCAGATGCTAACGTGGAGGTAGCCGCCTCCCCGCCCCAACCTGCCTGGGCCCTGTTTTGCAGACGGGAAAGTTGGACCCCCACTACCCGAAGGTCTGCGGGCACAGAGGGAACGTCTTAGACATCAAATGGAATCCTTTTGATGATTTTGAGATCGCCTCCTGTTCTGAAGATGCCACGGTGAGTCAGGCGTGGGCCGCCTTTCCCGAGAGGGGGGCGGGGGCAGGGGGAGATGGGATGGTGTCCGTCCTCGGTTCTGATGCTCCTGACTCCTTCATCCTTCGTGAGGTGAGCTCCCTGTGTGGGGCAGGGTGACTTAGATGGAGGAGGAGAAGTTATGGGCCCCGTGGCATTGGGGCACCCCCCTACTCTCTGTGGGCCTCAGTTCCCCCACCTGTAAAATGGGCATAATAGCTCCCAGCCATCCAGTGAAGACCCAGTGAGAGCCATATTCCAGCGGGAAAGCCCGGCTTTTGGGGAACTATAAAATGCTGCAGAGCATTTTCACTGTAGCCGGAAAACATTATGCCACTTAATTTCACAGACAGTGGGGACGGGAGCTTTAAAAGGACAGGAGTGGGAGCCTTCTGCAAATATGGACACCAACACCATCCCAAAAGCTTCAGTACCATCCCCTTTTTTGAGTCCCTGTTCTGTACCAGGGCTGTGGTCCCTACCCCCACCACATTCAGTGTTATTTATTCATAGTTTATTCTGTACCCTGTCCTAAAACAAGGTGGGTATGGCTTAAAACAAAATACATGGACGTGATCAGACGATTAAAATCAGGATAAAAGTCATGGGTACCATTTCTTGTGAGCCACTGTTCCTGACTCTCCTTCCGGTATCATTTCACTCAGTCTTCCCAGCAGCCCCACCAGGTGGGATATTTTTCTGATGGGGAAGCCGAGGATCTGAGAGGTGCAGCACTCTGTCTGAGGCCACACAGAGCCAGGCTTCACACTGAGGCTTGATTCCAGAGCCCAGTCCGTTTCCATTGAGCTGTGCCACTTCCCTAAAGAGCAGCAGCCACAGATGGAGGAAGTGAGGAAATAATACTAGAAACGTTAGCTGTGGAGGGTTGTAGCTGTTGAATTCCAAGTGTAGCTCTGAGCTGCCTGGCAGCCAAGGCAAAAAGGGAAACAGACTGTATTGCAGAACCCTCGCTGTCTGATCAAAGGAAAGAGACCAGTTCGTCAGGAGAAGCAGCTAGAAAATTCTAAGAGGACTTGTGTCAGTTTCCATATAGGGGATTTAGGAACACAGGACAATGTCTGCCGAGGTGGCTTCACTGAAGTGGCAGTCAGCCCCTGTAAGAATTGGCCTCATCTCCAATGAGTTCAGGGCTTCTGACGGGGTGTTGAATATCTGCTTCTTTCCCCACTCCCGGAACACCTACCCCTTCAGGCCTGCTTTGAAGGCTCCTTTCAAGGTCTTTATTAAATTTCTAGCTAGCTCAATTGCCTGTCACTGTCCCTTCCCAGGTGCCCCAGGGGCAGGATGAGTGGACACCACTATTGGGGGTGGCAGCGTCTAACCCTGACCCCAGGGCCTGTGGGGCAGGGACGAGCCTCTAGTCTCAGGAGTGTTGGGGACGGGCTCTGCACCTCCCAGACAGAGCTGCACAGAGTCTATCCTCCAGCGAGTTCAGTTCTGTGCGGAAACAGCTCGCCCTGAACTCCTATCTCTGGAGCCTGGCATGCTCTCGTGGGGTTGGCTTTATGGTTTTAAGTCCAAGACGACCAGGAAATAAATATTGGCTGAACTGAAAGCAAAGTCTACCTGACAACCTGTGCATCTCTAAGGGAAGGGGGCGTACAATCCCGTGGGGACCGGAGGAGCACCAAGTCAGCACCATCCCCAGCTGCATCGCCTCTGCAGCGGCCCTCTGTCCTCCGCTTGTATGCCTCCGTGGCGGGGAGCTTACTTTCTAGGGTGGAAGCACCTTCCATCCTCAACAATACTGCTCTGGGGGGGAAGCCCCAGCCCCCCTGCCAGTCCCTCGCTGTGGAGTACAGGCCTGTGACTCCATCCAGCCTGGCCCTCTGGCCTTCAGGCTTTCCTCTTCCCGGCCATCCAAGGGGGCCCTCCAAAGGAAAGAGCATGTCCTGCTCCAGAGACTGCGATGGCTCCTTAGTGCCCTGCGGATGATCATGAACCCGTTCTCCTGGCATTTGAAGCTCTGCCCTCGGCCTTTGGGCTGAGGAGGGGGTAGAGAACTTTGAGGGATATGCTAGGCTGGGAGGCAGATCTGCTCTCACATCCAGCCTGGGAGCCAGCCTGTGGCCCAGCTGCCCCTTGGCTGCCTCAGGTCATTAGAACAGCAAAGATAACCAGGGGCCATTTGGAGGCCCGGGGTCATCTCTGGTCAATGCCAACCCCTGCTTGGGCTGGAGGACCTTGGCAAAGCCCCTGTCCCTCTGAGGGACGCCAGCTGCCCCTCCACTGAGTGAGAGGTGGACAGAGAGAGAGATCCCCCAGCCCTTCTGCTGGGCACTGCCAGCTCTGTGGCTCAGGGTGGCGGAGGTGCTGGGGTGACCCTGGCTAACACTCCCCCCGACCGTGTCTCCCCTGACAGATTAAGATCTGGGACATCCCCAAGCAACTACTGACAAAGAACCTCACGGGCTGCAGGAAGGAGCTGGTGGGCCACGCGCGCCGAGTGGGCCTGGTGGAGTGGCATCCCACGGCCGCCAACATCCTCTTCAGCTCCGGCTATGACTACAAGGTGGGTCTGCCTATTCGTTTCCTGGGGCTGCCCTATCAAATGGGCAACCCGGGTGGCTTAAGACAGCAGAACTTTATTCTCGCACAGTTGTGGAAATCCAAAACCGAGGTGTTGGGAGGGCCCTGCTTCCTCCAGAGGCTCCCGAGAGGGGCCCTTCTGTGCCTCTTCTGGCTTCTAGTGGCTCCCGGCCTTCCTTGGCTTGGAGCTGCCTCACCCCAGCCTGCGTCCGTCTTCCCGTGGCCTGCTCTCTGTGTGTCTGCACGTCCTCTCCTCCTCCTATAAGGATGCCCATCATCGGCTTTAGGGCCCACCCTAATCCAGTATGAGCTCATTGTAACTAATTCCAGCTACAAAGACCCTATCTTCAATTAGGGTCACGTTCCAGGTGGACATGAGTTTTGGGGGGACACTATTCAACTGGTAAGTCTGCCTGGAGGGCACGGGCTGTGCCCCACCCAGGGGAACTTCCCCTGCTCCGAAGACTGCCAGCTGGCGGGCTGTGGGCCCTGTGGACTGGGGGGTTCACAGTAGGGGAGACCATGGTTCTATTTCGACTCGGTCTCTGACTTGCATGGTGACCTGGGGAAACCCCGTGTCTTCTCTGGGCCTCAGTGTCTCAATCTGTACACAAATAGGGTTGGTGTGACCCTAGCCATGGCTTTTGAACTCTTCCCTTCGCAACTCTGTAGGGCTTCACTCGCCTCGGGGGCCCACAGGCCTTGTACCCCCTTCAGAAGGGAAAGGATCAAGTGCTCTTTCACCGGTGGGTGGCAGGTGTCTGCCGGCTCCTGCTTCCCTTGAGCAGAGTATTCTGTATACAACTCCGGGGGTGCTATTCACACCATAGGCCACGGGAGGGGATTGCCCTGACGGCGGGCAGTGCCCAGCCTGTGCAGCTGAACATGGCAGCCTGTTGGTCTGTGTGAGGTGGGAACTGCTGCTAGGCTGTTTGAGCCCGCGGGACTCCTGGGGCCTGCCCGGCGTGGACGTCCTGTTGCTCCAGGGCAGATGCTGTTCTCTTTTCACTGCCAGACAGCCTGACCCCTGGCTTCCCCTCCTGCTGTGTGGCAGCTTCAGCAGCAGATCCCTCCTCCCACCCGAGGCCCCGGGGCCAGACTGCCATCTGGGCTTCCCTGCTGGGGATACCGTGTTTCCCCGCAGCCTGGCGGCGTGTGGCTGTGGGGGCTGGCGGGGGGGTGGCCGCGTGCTCAGCGCCCGCTCTCTGCCGTGCAGGTGATGGTCTGGAACCTGGACACAAAGGAGTCTGTAATCACCAGCCCCGTGAGGACAATTGACTGTCACCAGGACGTGATCCTCTCCATGTCCTTCAACACCAGCGGCAGCCTGCTGGCCACCGCCTGTAAGGACCGCAGGATCCGGATTCTCGACCCTCGAGCCGGGACCGTCCTCCAGGTGGGGCCAGGCGGGGCTCTGGGTGGGTCAGAGGAGCAAGGAAAGGAGCAGGCCCGGGGGAGGCTCCTGAGGACAGGGCAGTGACGCTGTCGGCGTTCTGGCTGAGCCTTCACATGGGCTGGCCCTGTCTGTTGAGCCGTAGGACATGTCATCCCCATTTTTCAGAAGAGAAAACTGAGGCGAACGTAGGCCGAGCGACTGGCCCACACCGAAAGCCAGGACTTGAACCTGGTCTAACTCCAGAGTTTGGCAGTGCACCTGGGCTCTGGCAGGAGGTGTGACCTGGGGTCAGAGCCCTTGGGACACCCCTGTCCATCCACTGTGGGCCTTAGGCCAGCTCCCGGAGCCTCTGTTCCCTCCTCTGTAGCATAGGCCCTTGGTGTTTCTTAGTTCTTCCTCTTGGAGGATTAAATAAGATAACCCAGGTGCCAGAGCACGCCTGGCCCCATGCCTTGCATACAGTGGGTGCTCAGTAATCTTTCAGCAAGAGCAGGAGCTGGGCAGAAGTTTGCCACTGTCCTAGCCCAGAAAAACAACTCTCAACCAAAACAGTGGGAGAACCTCCATGTGGGTGGGAGGAACCCAGGAAGGCTTCCTAGCGGTGGTGCCCCCAGAAGGCTTCTCCAGGAAGAGCTGGGGTGAGAAAGGCAGGCATTCCAGGTGAAGCAGCAGCATAAGCCAAGGCAGGGAGTCCTTGATGGCACATGTCCCTCCAGGAAGCCAGCTACAAGGGGCACCGGGCCAACAAAGTGCTGTTTCTGGGGAACCTGAAGAAGCTGCTGTCCACGGGCACATCCCGATGGAACAACCGGCAGGTGGCCCTGTGGGACCAGGTGAGTCTCCCACACAACCCTACCAATGCCCCCCGCCATCACTCCTCAGCTGAGTGCTGGCTTCATTCATTCATTCATTCATTCATTCATTCATTCATTGAATTTACTGACGAATAACAGGGAGATGCCAACAACCGAAGCTGCTAGCTCAGACCTTGTGATCTTGTCGTTCAAGGGGGGAGAGCCTGGACCCAGGAGGGGCCCGGGTGGTGGGGAGGGGACCAGGACTGGGGGACAGGGAGAAGGAGAGGGCCTTGGGCAGAGGGCACAGCTGGAGCAAGGGCTCTGAATGACATCCCGAGGCACGTGGGCGGGAGGAGCTGCTGTCAAGGTAGCTGAGTGTGGGGTGGGGGCGAGGGCCAGGCCAAGCAGTGTTGACTTGAAGGAGCTGTTGGCCCGAGTTTCAAAGACTGGACGGGTTACCTCCTCTCTGAATCTCTCTCCTCGTTTATTACAGTGAATAATAAAACAGGAGAGGAGGGCTGGAGAGAACAGGTGTGTGAGAAGTGATTCCTTCAAGGCAGGATGCTGGCATGATCAAAGGTGCTGGTCTCTCTCTCACACACACACAAACAGCCTCTTGCACATGCACACGTACACACATCGAGAGCCCCAGGACAGGGATTCTTAGCTCAGAGAGCACCACTGAGGGCCCCATGTGTGACCCGCAGGCCTTGCTGGTCTCCCTTCCCTTGCAGGACGACCTCTCTGTGCCTCTCACAGAGGAGGACCTAGATGGCTCCTCCGGTGTGCTGTTTCCCTTCTATGACGTGGATACAAACATGCTCTACGTGGTGGGGAAGGTGAGCCTGGCACAGGAGGGAGGTGGCTGCCTGGACCCCTGAGGCAGGAGGCAGAACTACCCCAGGCCTCGTCCCACTGGTGGCCAGACAGCAGCCTGTGGTCCTTGGGGTGCAGGGCAGGGACTGACCGGAGTCACTGAGCCCTCTCCAGCGTGGTGAGCCCAGCGCCACGTGGCCTCCTTCCCAGCTCCCGGGAGCCCCTGGGCCCGCGTGCTGGCAGCTGAGCTGAGCTGGTCCCTCCCCCTCTGGGCCCAGGTGAGGAGGGGCCAGGGGTGTTTCTCAACGGGGCCGCCTTCGAATCAGGGCAGAGCAGGCCTTCCTTGGGGGGGACTGTCTGGCTGTGGCACCCCTGGCCCCTGCTCCCCAGTGCCAGCAGCAGCACCCCACCCTGCCCCGCCCCATCATTATGACGGTGACAACTAGAAATGCCCCCCTGAAGGGTCAGACCCCCGGATGGCCTCAGGACACGCCACCTGTGACCTCTGTGTGCGGCCTCCGCTCCCGGGGCTGGGCCTTGGAGGCACAGGGGTGGGCTTGGGTCATGGTGGGGGGACTGAGCGTTCAAGTGAGGGCCCCTTCTGCCTTGGTGACAGTTCCCTGGTGTTCGCTCACCGAACGCCAGGATTCTGCTGCCTGGCGGTGGGGGCCGGGCGGGGGCTGATGGGCAGCTGCTCTGAATCCACCTCCTCCCCTGCAGGGAGATGGCAACATCCGCTACTACGAAGTGAGCGCCGACAAACCGTACCTGAACTACCTGACCGAGTACCGCTCCTACAACCCACAGAAGGGGATCGGTGAGTGTGGGACACCCAGGCCGCTTGGGTGGGATGAGACAGGGGTGAGTGGGGTGTGGGCCCTGCCCTGGAGGGGCCTCATTCGAGAGGGGAGACGGCGGGCCAACACTCTGCCTCGGTGGGAGCTCTAGTTGAGGTGTGCACGAGGCTCTCCGGGAACACAGAGGAGGAAGTCAGGGAAGGCTTCCCGGAGGAGGCAACACTTGAGGAGCTGAAAGAGGAAGCAGAGCACAGCATGGGGAGAGAATGAAGGTGTTCTAGGTCAAGGTGGAGCAGTACAGTAGCAAGGAGACGGGAGAGACCTAAGAGAGCCCCAGGGAGCAGACTTCACCTACTTTTTAAGTGTGTTTGGGATTAAAAAAACAAAAAGGAACTAACTACAGGTTGTCTAAGAAACCTGCTTAAACATAGAGACACAGCTAGATTGAAAGGAAGGATGGGGAAAGATAGCAGCCAACACGAATGGAAGGGGAGCGGAGCAGCTCTGTGGCGAGCCTCGGGGCCGAGCTGGGGCTGGGCTGCAGGGCCTGCAGCAGAGCACACGCCTGTGAATGTCTAGCTGAAGACGTGTAAGTCCCTGAAGGTGGGGACGGGTCTGATCCCTTGGGCCCCATCGCCTCAGCTCTGCAGGGCCCGCCGAGGTGGCTGTGGGGGCGGGACGCTGCGAGAGGCGTCTGTGTCAGTCCAGAGCGCAGCCAGGCTTGGCCACACCCCTGGGCCCCGTGGCCCCGCCCAGCGAACCCCTGGGCCCTCGCTGGCCCTCTGCCCGCAGGTGTCATGCCAAAGAGAGGTCTCAACGTGTCCTCCTGTGAGATCTTCCGCTTCTACAAGCTGATTACGACCAAAAGCCTCATCGAGCCCGTGTCCATGATTGTGCCCCGGCGGGTGAGGCTGCTGGGGCTGTCTGGGCGGGAGGCGGGGCGCCCCTCCTGGAGCCGTGGCCCAGCCCCGGGCAGCCGCAGGGAGGCCTTTCTCGCGGTCAGCGCCGCGTCCCTGACCCCGAGAGCTGGGAGCCCTGAGTCTCAGCCGTCTCTGCTCTTGAGTTGCTGTGTGACCCAGGCCACATCCCTTTGCCCTCTGGGCCTCGGTTCCCTCCACTCACAGGGGTTGGCAGAGTCTGGCCCCACCCTCTAAGGGCCCTCCCGGTCTGGCAGCCTGCGCTCCCACCGGGCCCTCACTGTCCTGACTTCTCCTACAGTCGGAGTCCTACCAAGAGGACATCTACCCGCCCACGGCAGGGGCCCAGCCCTCACTGTCAGCCCACGAGTGGCTCAGTGGCATGAACAAAGGTGAGGAGGGCTAGCAAAGGCCTCGGGCCAAGGTCGGGGGAAGGGAGTGTCCAGTCGCCCCAAGTAGCTGAGAGGGGTTTGGCCTGTGTCTGTGTCCTTCTGTAACCTGGGAGGGCTGCCCCTTGACAGTCAGTCCCCAGTGGCTAAGACGGTCACATAAGGTTCCAGGAAGGGAGGAGCTGGTCACAAATGGCTCAGGAAACTCCCTCCAAATCAAGGGTTTTGCCCCGTGAAAACTTCTTTGAACTTGGGCTGTGCAGAGTGACTGGGTCGTCCCCGGCGGACGCCTGTTGCCCATCCGCCCTCCACAATTACTCTTTGACCCGAGACACCCCCTGGGCAGCAGCCCCCACCCAGGCCCGTCTGCCCGCTCTGCCTGCCCTGAGTCAGCCTCCCTGTACTGTGAACACAGGGGCTACCCCAGGGGGAGGTGGTGTGTGATCCCTGCTCCCTGACCCGAGCAGCTGCCTCTGCCATTGGGATCCCTCTCCCTTTAACCCCCTTTTTTTGTATAACCCTGAGACAGTCTCGCGCCTCTCTGGGCCTCAGTTTCCCGTCTGTGTCTGTGATGCCTGCCTCCCCTGCTGCTGGGGGCACTGGGAGAACTCATGAGCCGGCAGAGGGCAGCGCTCAGCGTGGGGGGGGTGCTGTCCGTACACGGCCAGGCAGGCTGTGCTGGAGGAGCTGGGGTTTGGGGGTGGCCCCAGGACAGGAACCGGCTGCTCCTACAGACAGGCCTCCTCAGAAGCCGCCCGCGAGGAGCTTTGCGCTCCCGTGGCCCCAGTTCGTGGGCTGTGCCTGTCTGCGTGTGGCCGTATCTCCCGCACGTGTCGCGTGTGCCTGCGTGCCCGCGTGTGTCAGTGGCCCCCTCGCCATCTGGTCCCGGGAACTCAGTCCTCACATGGTCCCTTGTTTCCCTCCCAGGGCCAGTCCTGGTGTCCCTCAGGCCCGGCTCCCAGCTGCTGAGCCACCAGCCTCTGTTTCCAGAGAGACCCCTCTCCAATTCCACGGCCCCCGCCTCCCCCTGGCTCTCCAGCCAGACAGGACAGCTGGCTGCGGAGGATGCGTGGAGGCCCCGCTCCCTGCTGGAGGAGAAGGCGACGCGGCGGGCGGCAGAACAGAGGCTAGAGGAGAAGAAAACCTGGTTCTCAAACGGCTTTGACATCTTCGAATGCCCCCCGCCGAAGACGGAGAATGAGGTGTGAGCCAGGGTGGGGCAGGGGCCTCAGGGGGCGGGGGCAGCTGCCAGGGGGAGGAGAACACGAGGGGCGAGGCCCGGCCCCTTCACTAGCTCTGTTAATTCGTTCAGCAGACAGGCCGTGAGCACCGTCTGTACGCCCAGCTGGTGGGTTTCCGTACAGATGGTGGGGAACCACCTGCGAAGTGTGGAGGGCTTGGCCTGGTGGCTGTCCAGTCCCTTCCAGTTCTGACCCTCTAGGATTTTCTGTGCTTTCGGAGGCAGCGTTTATCAAGTGCTGCTGTGCGGCAGGTCCTGGGGCAGGCGCTCAGATATGTCATCGGATTGAATTCCCTCAACCGCCCCGGGAGTCAGTATGTCGTGGCTGAAAACACGAGGGCTGGCATCCACAGTGGGATTCCGATCCTGGCTCTCCAGAGCACTAACTGTAGGGCCTCGGACCTGGGGGCTGAGTCTCTCTGAGCCTCAGTTTCCACTGTGGTAAAGTGGGGGTACTAATACTACCACCCTTGTAGGGATGTTGTGAGCATCAGTGGAATAACAAAGGTCCTCCAGGGGTGCGCCCAACATCTAGTACCCTTCCATACAGCAGCAGCAGTTAGGATAATGCTGAGGTGAGTTTTCTCACCCCCAGTTCCCAGAGGAGGAAACTGAAGCTCAGAGTCGGTAAGTAACTTGCCCGAGGTCACACAGTTTAGTGATGGTGAAAACTCTAATCTCGAGACTTCAGAGCCAAGTATCCTTTCCTCCATCCCATGGGGGATCCAAGGAGGCAGAAATGTCTGAAGCATCAATTCTTTTGGAATTTCATTTATTGGGTGAAGAAAACAAGATTTTTGTAAAAGATTTATGCAATGGCTGCCCCTTCAGGCCTCAGCCGCATTAACTGAATCACATCCACCTTGCTGAGTCAGAAAGCGGCAGTGTCTTATCCCTTCTGCTGGAGTCCTGCCCCTGCGCCCGGGACGCCCCGGTGAGCTCTCCTCTGTTCTCTGCTTTCCCAGCTGCTACAGATGTTCTACCGGCAGCAGGAGGAGATCCGAAGGCTCCGCGAGCTGCTGGCCCAGCGCGAGGTCCAGGCCAAGCAGCTGGAACTGGAGATCAAAAACTTGCGCGTGGGCTCGGAGGGGTTCTGAGCCGAGACATCTGCCCAGTGCCCTCAGGGACACCACTCAGCTCCACGGGGAGGTCTGGGATCCAGCCACAAGGCCCCCAAGGACAACCGCTATTTCTCTCGTTTTTACCAGAAAACGAAACTCTGGGTCGCTGAGAGATTCCAGTGGGACGTGGTGCCGTTTTTCTATTTGCCTTCTCGAAACAAGTGTCTGAACTGACTCTTTTTAGATGAACTTGCCTTCTGTTTAATCTGTTTTTAAGGGTCCATGATGAGCTAAAACTTCTCAAGAAGAAAGAACGTTGTAGAAAGTTAGAGCTGGAAGGACCGAGGAGGTGACCCTGCTTAATGATTTTCAAACGGTGGTCCGTGGGATCGGGGAGGCTAGGTAGACGGGCTGTGTCCCCACTGCCGCTTTCCGACCAGATGCTCTTCTGTTTTATATATTGGCTTCTATGGAATACATAATTCTGCTACTTAAAAGAAAATTTAGAAGTTTAAAAACCAGTGATCTGCCCAACTCCCTCATTTTACTGGTGGGGAAACTGAGGCCCAGAGACAGGCAAGTGATCAAGGTCCCCAGAGAGTTCAAGGCAGGGCCAGGCTGAGCTCCTCATCGCCTGGTCTGCCTTTGCTGTTTCTGGGCTGATACAGATCTCAGCCCACAGGGCAGGAGTCCGTTGGTTCCGGCCTCAGCTGAGTCCGGACTCACTGACGTCCCGCAGGCCCTTCCTCTGCCCCACCTCCAGTCTCAATTCCTCCATTGGAACAAGGGGGATCCTGGAATAAGCTCCCCTCTGCAGCATCTGCCCCTCGAGATGAGAAACTTTGGCCTTGACTTGGGGAAACGATCTGGGTTTGCTGCAGGAATTCACAAGACATTGGCACAAGGACAGAGGGAATTTAACTTCAAGGAACTAAGTCAGGGTCCAGCCCAGTTCTAGAACACAGACAGGAGGCCAAAAGCATCATCTCTTCTTCAACCAGAATCAGCCGGATGTGGGTAGACATTATCCCCTGTGTGAGACGCAGACATGAGAGCGGTGCGGCCGACCACTGACTGACACCACCAAAGCCCTCAGGTCACAGAGCCTGCCTCCCCCAGGAGGATGTAGGCAGATTTCAGCCATAACAGAGAGGCTCCCAGGAGGGAGGGAGCCCCAGCACCGGAAGTCACAGGCAGAGCCCTCGGGAGGGCTCCTGGAGAAAGATGACTGCACTGGCAGGGCAGCAGGACCACGTGGCCCTGAGGCTCCCTTCCAGCCTGAGAGCTTTCCATGTCCCTCCTTTGTGAATCTGTGTTCTGAGCCCTTCTCGAAGGTTCTCTTTCTCAGTGGTCAATACAGCCGCCCAGCTAGAGATGGAGAATGTTGGAAGGAGGTGTAGACAGTGAGTTTTGCCCACTGATCCAGGAGCTAGGATGGGGACTGCAGGAGGCCACCTGGCCCGGTAGGTTTCAACCCAGGCTGTACATCAGAATCCCCTTGGGAGCGTTCAGGAAATACAGATGCCCAGGCCCAACCTCGGACCACTTGAAGCTGAATCTCCGAGTAGGGCCTAGCCTTGTGTATGTTTTTATAAGCTCCCAGGTGATTCTGCAATACAGCGAGGATGAAGCCCCCCCGGGTTAGTCCATCGGCACCTGTTTGCAGTAAAGATGAGGCAGACAGGGAGTGCCAGACAGGAGCTGGGACTCTAGCCCTGTCCTCTCAGTCCTGGCTGGAGGCTCCTAAAATCAGGAAGCATTGTCCCGAGCCCTCACTCAGGTCTCTCTGGGCCCCCTCCCTGGCCACAGCGTGATGGGGGCTCTGTGCTCCCGATGGCCCCCTTCCCCATGGCTGAGGCCCCCTGTCTCCTGTGCACGCCAGACACCCATGTTCCTTCTTTTATCCCCTATTTACTCAGTCACTGGGGCTCGCCAGGCTTGCCAAAGGCCAAATCCCAGGTATTGTCAGGGAAGCAGAGCTCTGCTGGATGGGGTTACCTCTCCCACCTCTTTGTGGTCCGCACTTCACAGTTTACACAGCCTCCCACCTCCGCTCACAGACGCTTCCTCTCCAGCACCGCCAGGCAGGCATCAGTATCCCCCTGGTCAGAAGAGGGGACGCAGCCTCAGAGCATGAACCAGCGTGTCTGGGGCGCTGCTGCAAAGCGCTGGAGGCGGGGCTGAGTCTGGGGAGTTTCCCAGCAGCCCCCTCTGCACAGAGCCATCCCTTCTCCAGCTCTCCCCACCCCCAGGGGGGCCCAGACCTCATGCTTGGAAACAATATGAAGGCATCCATGAACAAACTTTTTTTTTTTTTAACATCTAGAATAAATTATTTAAATTATTTCACAGCAAGGGAGAGGGATAGGTAATTTTTATCAGATATTTTTTTAAGCCATTTTTTAAAATTACGTTTTTGTTTGTGTTCTTGACTGATGACGTGAGCTTGCCAGGCACTGGCAGAGCCAGGCTCCAGGCTCAGGGCAGGCAGAACGCGCGCTCATCTCCCTGCTCCGTCTCCTGGGGGCCGACTGTTGACTCAGGAACTTTCCGAGGATGAAGACCGCACGGGGACATGAGCCTTGGGGTGGACCCACCTTAGCTCTGCATTAATTGTTCTTCCTGGAACAAACCTTGAGATTGTATCATCGAGGGAAGCAGGAAGTCGGAAATCGATCTATGCTCTTAATATGAAACCGTGCCTGAAACAGTTTGAATGATTGTTTTAATGTTGTTTCTGAAATTCCTTGTACCTTTGTAAAAAAAAAATAAAAGTGAAGATAAATAGATGTGGAATCGTGCAATGGAAAGAATGTAACAAAATAATAAACACCTGCCTAGACATTTTAATACACGGAGCGTTCCTTTTCTTGATTTGTTCCACAAATACCATTAAGAACCTACTGTTGGGGCCAGGCACCAGGCTGGGAAACATGTGAGACAGACTTGGTCCCTGCCCTCTGAAGAGGTTTCATCATGCTTAGGGGAAAGGAGAGGGAAAGGATAGGGGAAGGGCATGCTGCTCTGGGAAGAGCAGCAGGGAAGTCTTCCTGGAGGAGGTGATATTTAGGCAGACACCTGAAGGATAGATAGGAGTAAGCAGGGCAAAGTGCACTTCTGGAAAAGAGTGTTCCAAGCAGAGAAAACTGCCTATTCTCTTGTCAGAAAACAAGCAAAGGGTGGAGCATAGACAGGGTAGGCATCAAGGGATTGAGAGAAGAGCCAGGAGCCTTGTAGTGGGAGCTGAGACTTTTTTCCAGCTTTGTTGAGGTATGGACTGACAAAAATTGTATATGTTGTATGTGATTGGGGTTTTTTAAGGACAGCCCTTTTTTTTTCTTGCTGAGAAAGATTTGCCCTGAGCTAACATCTATTGCCAATCTTCCTCTTTTCTTTTTCTCCTCAAAGCCCCAGTACATAGTTGTATATTCTAGTTGTAGGTCCCTCTATTTTTTTCTTTTTTGTGTGTGAGGAGGATTCGCCCTGAGCTAACATCTGTGCCAGTCTTCCTCTACTTTATATGTGGGATGCCTCCACAGTGTGGCTGATGAGTAGGTCTGCAGCTGGGATCCAAACCTGCAAACCCGGGCTGCCGAAGCAAAGTGCACAGAACTTTAACCACTTGGTCACAGGGCCTGCCCCCTTGTAGGTTCTTCTATGTGAGCCGCCACCACAGCATGGCTACTGACCGATGAGTGGTGTGGTTCCGCGGCTGGGAACCAAACCTGGGCCGTCAAAGCAGAATACGCCCAACGTTAACGGCTGGGCCATCAGGACTGGCTCTGCATGTGATTCTTTAAGGTGTACACTGTGTGATATATGTATACACTGTGAAATGATTGCCACAACTGCTTCACAGTTGGGTTTGTGTGAGATCTACTCTCGGCAAATTTCAGGTATACAGTATAGTTCTGTTAACTACGGTCACCGTGCTGTTCGTTAAATTCCTAGAACTTAGGATTCTTATAACTGAATCCTTTTCCCCCAGCCCTCAGCCCCAGCAACCAGCTTTCTACTCCTTTTCTATGAGTTCAACTTCGTTTTTAGATTTCACATCATAGTGATACCACAGAGTGTTTACCCTTCTCCGTTTGTTATCTCACTTAGCATGTTGTCTTCTGGGTTCATCCATGTTGCAAATGGCTGGATTTCCTTTTTTAGGGCTGAATGACATTTCACTGCATATACATACACTACATCTTCTTTATCCATTCATCCTTCCAAGGACACTTAGGTTGTTTCCATGTCTTGGCTGTTGTGACTAATGCTGCAATGAGCACAGGAGCGCAGATACCTCTTGGAGATCCTGATTTCATATTCTTTGGATATATTCTCAGAAGTAGGATTGCTGGATCACATAGTAGTTCTACTTTTAATTTTTTGAGGAAATCCCATACCATTTTCCATGGTTTACAGTCAGTGGGAGCTGAGACTTTAGCCTGGGGGCAATTGGTGTTTCTAGGGTGTTTCTTACAATTGTGGCAACGGTTGGTTCTCCTGGGGAAACAGCAAGAGAGAATCAAGGGGAAGTGAAAAGTGTAGGCAACGCACAGTATCTGGAAGGCCACAGCCAACCTCGGCCATCTGCAGGACTGCAGTTTTCTGAGCACGACTGGACTAGCTTCACTAAGCAGGGATCCCACCCCCTTCCAGTTAGCCCGTTAGGAGTGTCGACCTTAAAAATAAGATAGCCAGTTATTTTACCAGCAAAATGGGTTTATTCGGCACTAGCAAAGAAATTGCAATTTCTGACTACCAAGCTATAGCAAAAGCCATAGGCAAGTCCAGCAAACAAAGGAGAGGAACGTTATTTTATAGAGAAAAAGGAAGAAGTTCGGAAGGATAGTTTCAAAGGAAAGCCTGTCAGTGGAACACAGGAGTTCAGTGTGGTGACGGTTTCTCCCTGGCTGAGTGGCTGGGGTAGTCGATTTCAAGTTGGGGACGCACCGTACCTCTCCTCCTGCTGGGGTCTGTAAATGACGATTCTTGTAATTGACGTGGAGTCGTGGCGTGTCAGAGCTCCCCCTTCTGCCGTCCCAGCTCAATTTAAAAAGAGGGTTTCTTAACTTAAAAGCAAATTTACCTATTTTACCCTCAAAATGAGTTTATTCTAGAATAGCCAAAAGAATTACAATTCCTGACGTGTGCACCACGGCAAACCACAGGCAAATAAGAAAAAAAAACACGCACGAGAGCCGCTTTTATAGAGAAAAAGGGGGAGTCGGGAGAGGCTGTTCTAAGTGAAAGTCGATTGGGGGAAAATAACAGTTCAGGGCAGCAACCGCTTCTCATTGGCTGCGCTGTCGCCGGGTCGGGAGAGAAATCTTCCTTCGCCAATAAAGCCGCTTCGCTTCCTCTCCACGATGCGAGCAGTCTCTTCGTAACTGACGTGTGCGCCAGGGCGTGAGGGCTCCCCTACAGGCCTTCCCGACCTCAATTTAGTGGAAGTTTCTTTCATTAATTTCCACACTGTATTGCGTTCGCAGGAGCGCGCCCCCGTTTCTGCTGCGGCCACCTCGGGCCAGACTGAGCTGGCTGCAGGGGCCTGCGCCCTCGCGGGGGCTGAGACGTGCTGCGGCAGGCGGGGCTGAGAGCACCCTGCTGCTCCGAGGGTGACGATGCTGCCGCTACCCGCCCCTCCCCAGTCTGCGCTTCCTGCCCTCCTGCCACCCAGCTGGGCTGGCCCGCGGCCGCCCCGCCCCACCCCACCGCTGAGGTTTCGATTCCCCAGGGGAGCCTCTCTCCGCGCTGGCGCGGCCCGAAACTGTGCGCACGAATGGCGGGCGCCGCGGCGCTCAGCCCGACGCCTGGGGGGCCCGAGGACGCGTGCCGCTGGCGCTGCCCGGAGCACGGCGACCGCACGGCCGAGCTCTTCTGTCGCCGCTGCCGCCGCTGCGTGTGCGCGCTTTGCCCGGTGCTGGGCGCGCACCGCGGCCACCCGGTGGGCCTGGCGCTGGAGGAGGCGGCGCACGTGCAGGTGGGGACGCGGGCGGTGCGCGGGGCGGGGGGGCGAGCCGGGAGCAACGGACGGGGAGGGGCGTGCCCAGGGCCGCGCTGCCAGTTCCCCGTCAGGACGTGGAGCCCCAAGGCGGCCCAGAGGTCGTCTAGGCTGTCTCTGTCGACCTGTCATTCAGAACGAGAGACTCAGGCCCAAGGAAGGGCAAAGGCGAGCCAAGGCCGTTCGTTAACCTTCGGAAGAGGTGGGTTTGCAAGTGAGAACTTGGAGCCCCGGCAGGTACCCCATGTCCCTGAGCTCGTCCACTATGGCAGATCCACTACACTGCCCTTGGGCTGGAAGAAAATCTGCCTTTAACAGAGAGGAACGTCACTCCTTTAGAGAACAGCCGTGTCACCCCGGAAAGCCACACAATCATCTCCTCTGCTTCTCTCCCTGGAGTTCCCTGGAGGGGGCCGTGGACTGCCCGAGGGCCCGAGAGCAGACACAAAGGCCCCTCTGACCACCCCGGCCCGCCCCTCCCCCTCCACACGCGCTCCAGTTCCACGCCTAACAGCCTGGCGAGCTAGGACGGCCATTTGATCCATAAGAAAAGGAAGACTCTGGAGGTGGAGGGGGGCCTTGAACCCAGCTGGACTGCCTCCCCGGGGCCCATTCTCACCTCGGAGCCCTGACCCATGCTTAATCCTAAGAGTGGCCAAGGCCTCCAGACTCTTGTTCCAGCCTTGTGGGTGACCCGTTCTGTGGCTCTGGTCAAATCCCTCGCCTCTCTGGGCTAGGCAGGCCCTCCTGTCTTTGATAGCCGTTGATGCTACCACTTCCACCGCCAAGAAGTCTTTCCGTTATTCACCCAGGCCACAAGGACCTTTCCCCTACAAGGCATGATTTAGCACCATCACGTGGTGACAACCTTGGAGCTCCAAAGTAAAGATGGGCCCTGTAGGGGCCAGTCAAGCTAGTGGAGTCCTGGGTTCAAGGCCTGCCTCTAAGATCTTCCTTTTCTTATCTATAAAATGGCTGTAATAATAATGGCTCTGCAAAAGGCTGTTTTTCAGAGTTAATAAGGCTGCTTTCCAGAGATATGGCCAGTGGATCTCACAGGTAGGTCGGTCCATCCACTTGCCTATGCATACCCATTTTGCATCAGCATACCCACCCACTTATCTGTTTATCAATCATCCATCCATTCATTCATCCATCGTTCATTCATCAAACATCCATTCAGCACATACCTTGTGCCATGAGTCAAGGAATAGATCAATTCTTCCCTGACCTGGAGGAGTTCCCTGGCTGGTGGGGGGAGAACAAACAGTGACAATACACTGTGATAAGTGTTGTAACTGGGACCCAGAGAGAAGACAATGTGAACCAGGAACAGGAAGCCCAGGAAGACTTCCTAGAGGAGGTGCCATTGGAAGTGGCCTTGAAGGATGGGTAGGATTTTACCAGGTACCAAGACAGGAGAAGCACCTTGTGACTGGAGGGCACAGGCACCAGGAGGCTGGGTTATTCTTGGGTGATAGACAGGAGCTAGACTTGAAAGCTTAGAAATCACAGTGGAGTAAGGATGTGCTCCTGAAAGTTGAGGCTATGGCTTATACTTGGGTTACTATCGTGTCCCTACCCCAACTCCTGCCTAGAATAAAGCTGTGCTGGGGCCACCCCATGGCATAGTGGTTGAGTTCAGCAGGCTCTGCTTTGGCAGCCTGGGTTCATAGGTTCAGTTCCCGGGCACTGACCTACACCACTTGTTAGCCATGCTGTGGCAGTGACCCACATACAAAAGAGAGGAAGATTGGCATAGATGTTAGCTCAGGGTGAATCTTCCTCAACAAAAAAAAGAAAGAAAGAAAAGACAACTGTGCACACAGTAGCAAATGCTTGTTGGATGTTGAAATGACATCCATCTATTGAGCACTTACTGTCTGCCAAGCACTACACTTTGTGTACTGGTCAAGAGTAACATCAGAGCTCACAGATCACCATAACAAATATGATAATAAGGAAAAAGTTTGAAATATTGCAAGGATTACCAAAATGTGACACAGACACAAAGTGAGTGAATGCTGTTGGAAAAATGGTGCTGACAGACTTGCCTGATGCAGGGTTGCCACAAACCTTCAATTTGTAAAGAATGCAATGTCTGCAAAGCGCAATATGAGGTATGCCTGTACCTCTCATTCTCTACAGCAGCCCTATGGGGTTATCCCCCTGTTTACAGCTGAGGACACCGAGGTTTAAAGAGGTGAGTTCACTTGCCCAGGTCGCGTGGAAGTAGGGACGCAGACCCAGGAGGTCTCATGTGACTCTAGGGCTTGTGCTCATAACAACTTGCTCTCTACTTGAAGTTGGCAGCCCTTGTCACTCTGTTCAATTCAGCAGACACTTCTGGGTCACCCCTGGTCCTTATGGGGGAGCCAGGAATGGAGCAGGCCTGCCCTCAGGAAGCTCCCAGTTGGCCCAGCGGCTGACCGTAAGGCCAGCCATAAAAAGGCTAAGATGGAGCTAAGGTCACAGCTGTCGGGGAGAGGGACACAGAGCAGGCCTTTGGAAAAATGGCAACTGCAAAGAGCAGAGATAGGCAAGGGAGCCGTTTCAGTCGGTTGGGAGAGGGGACCATGACCCACAGGCCTCTCACACATGCAGGTCTTCTGGACGCCTCCAAAGGGCCGCAGGCTCCTGCAATGGAAGTTCCCTGAGGGCAGCTCCTAGAACAGGGCCCAGCGTGTGTTCACGCTGTGAGCAAATGCCCTTGCCCTGACCACAAGCGGCTTGCCTCAAGGCCCTCTTTGAGGGACTGGAAAAGCAGGTCATACGCAGGATGGTCCTAGAAAGAAAGGGGGCATCAAGGTTGGGAGAATACCTGCTGTGGGCCTCTGGGTCCTGGTCACCCTCCAGCTTGCCTCCTGACTCTGGGCGAGTCGGCTGCCTTCTGGGGACACCTCAGCTGAGACAAAACGCGCGGTGCCCCGGGGGCCTGGTTATCTCGAAAGTGACCGTGGTGACTTTTTCCCTTACTCCTTCGCATACAGAAACTCACCCAAGAATGTCTACAGCAGTTGGCGACCAAGAAGCAGCAGCAGGTTGGCAACATAAACCAGATTGAGGACGCGGCCGGGAGGCTCCAGGCAAGTCCCCTGCGTGTCTGGTTGACACGTTGCTCCCCCGCCACGAGGCTGTCCGCGTGCGGGGCCCGGGAGAGCCGACCGCCAGCCTCGGGGGCGCTCAGGCTCGCGGAGCCTGGGGCTTCTGTAATTCAGGGGGCTCTTCTCGAGAAAAAGAACGCAAAATGAGGGGCGAGACCCTGAAGGGACCCGCAGGGGAGGGGCCTGCGGGCGGGTCGAGTCGCTTCGCGGTGACCGGCCTCCGCGGAGCCGGGGACACCACACCGAGCGCAGTCCGCGCGGAGAGACCGGTGCCCGCGCCCGCAGCCGCCTTAAACTAGCCAAATGCGTGTCAGGAACGCGCAAATGGCTCTGAGGTCTCTGCCAAGGCGAAAGTAGATGGAGTAGAAACGTATTCCATAAACACGCACTTTCTCCAGGCATCTCCTTTCATAACGATGTTTATTTAAAAGGATTTCTTGGTGGGTTTTAAATGGGAAGCTCGGGCTGACCCTAGTGTGAGCTGCTGTTTAGACTGTGAAAAAGTCGTGTCTTTAGGGCTTTATACATGAACTTGGCTGTTCCCTTCCCCTCTCAGCCTCAGCCGCCCCCTCGTGGAAGTGAGTCGCTATGAGAGCCCCATGACCTCCTGCTGACCCCCTCAGGTCAGCCGGGGAGACCAGCTCCCCCCGTAGGACTAGCTGGCCCCTGGTCTTCCTGAGGCTGGCCCGAAGCCCAGGGAGGCAGGCGGGCCACACGATGGGCCCCTGATTGCCCAGCATCCGTGATCTGTAAGGGGACTCCATCCATGCCCCTGTTTGCTGGGGACAATTGTGGTTTACACCTGTAGCCCTGGGTTAATTATTAATAATGTCATGAGCAGGACTCCGGGCTCAGATGGATAAATCAGGTCAAAAGGATTTTGGAACTGAAAGTTGGCACCCCCAAGGGAATGGGAGGTGCTTGGGCTGTGGAGCTGGAAGGACAGTTGGGGCACAGGTTCACCGTCGGCAGATCTGGGTGGGGGTCCCCAAGGGGAGAGTTAGGACCCGCATGGAGAGCCTAGGAGGGCGGGCTTCAGCTTACCCTAAGGAGTGTTTTTCCTTCTTTTAACCCTCTCCTCAACACCTAAACTTTCTAATTTGACCTAATTACAGATTCACAGGACGTTGGGACGGTGGTACAGAGGAGTTTTTGTGCCTTTCACCTAGTTGACCCCAAGGGTTACGTCTTACATAACTGTAGTAAATATCAAAACAGGAAAATTGACAGTGTGTGTGTATGGTTCTGTCAACTTATCACGTGTGTAGATTCAGGTAACCGTCACCGCAATCAAAACAGAACTATTCCATCAGCACCGAGGTGTCCCTCATGCCGCCCCTCCCCAACAATCCCTTACTTCTGGCCATCACTAACTTGTCCTCTGTGTCTATTATAAGGGCATCTGAGAATGTCAGAAAAATGGAATCATGTGGCATGTGACCTTTTGAGATTTTTTTCACTCAACATAATGCCCTTGAGATTCATCCAAGTTGTTGCGTGTGTGGACAGTTCATTCCTTTGTATTGTTAAATAATATTCCAGCAATCCAGTAGTGTGGATATACCCCTTTTCTTTAACCGATCATCTATTTTAGGACATTTTAGTTGTTTCCCATTTGAGGCTATTACAAATGAAGCTGCTTTGAACGATTGGGTACAGTTTCCGTGTGGCTATAAGTTTCTGTTTCTCTGGGGTGAATCCTGAGTGCTAATGCTGGGTAGTGTGGTGCTTGCATGTTTAGTTTTTTAAGAAACTACCAAACTGTTTTCCAGAGTGGCTGGGCCATTTTACATTCCCACTGGCTATATCTGAGAGATCCTGTTTCTCCAAATCCTTGCCAACATTTGGTCTTTTTTAGCCATCCCGATAGGTGTGTAGTGGTGTCTCATTGTGGTCTTCATTTGCATTTCCTCAGCAGCTAGTGATGTTGGCATCTTTCCATGCGCTGGTTTGCCATCTGTCTATCCACTCTGCCAGGAGGTCTCCTCGTGCCTCTTGCCGTTTCCTGATCCCATTGTTTGTTTTCTTTCTTTTTTTCCTTTTTCTTTTTCTCCCCAAAACCCCAGCACATAGTTGTCTATCCTAGCTGTAAGTCCTTTTAGTTCTTCTTTGTGAGATGCCAGCACAGCATGGCCTGATGAGTGGTGTGTAGGTCTGTACCCAGGATCTGAACCAGCAAACCTCAGGCTGCCACAGCAGAGCACGCACATTTAATGACTATGCCACCGGGCCGGCCCCTGTGTATTTTCTGACTGCTCAGTTTTGAGAGTTGTCTACACACAGTCATGCCTTGTGTAATGATGGGGATGGGTTCTGAGAAACCCATCGTTGGGTGATTTCGTCACTGTGCAAACATCAAAGAGTGTACTTATACACAAACCCGATGGTATAGCCTGCTGCCCACCTAGACTCTACGGTGCTAAGATTTTGGGACCACCACTGTCTATGTGGTCGGTTGTTGACTGAAACGTCATGCGGCACGTGACTGTATCTGGATAGGAGTCCTTTGTCAGACACGTGGTTTGCGAATGCTTTCTCCCCGTCTGTAGCTTGTCTTTTCATTGTCTTAACGGGTTCTTATGCAGAGTGAAAGGTTTTAATTTTGATGAAGTCCAGTTGGTCAGTTTTTTCCTTTTATGGATTGTGCTCTCGGGGTCGTGTTAAAGAACTCTTTCCCTAACCCTAGGTCCCAAAGATTTCCTCCTTTTATTTCCCTAAAAGTTTTATAATTTTACGTTTAAGTCCATGATTCATTTTGAATTAACTTTTGTATAAGGTTGAGGTTTTTTCTTTTATCTATGGATGTCCAGTTACTCTAATGCCATTTGTTGAAAAGACTGTGCTTTCTCTGTTGAGTTGCTCTTGTCAAAAATCAACTGGCCATACTTGGGTGGGGCTGTTTCTGGATTCCCTGTTCCTTCCAGTGATCTGTGAGTCTGTCCCTCTATCAGTGCCGCACAGGCTTGATTACTGTAGCTGAAAATAAGCCTTGAAATAATTGATGCCTCCCACTTGATTCTTTTTCAGAATTATTTTAGTATTTTAGTTCCTTTGCCTCTCCATTTAAGTCTTAGAATAATCTTGTCTATATCTACAAAAAGTAAACTTTGTTGGGATTTTGGTAGGAACTGTGTTAAGCCTGTGTATCAGATTAGAGAGAATTGACATCTTTACTGTGTTGTCTTCCAACCGTGAACACAGTCTGTCTCTTCGTGCATGTAAATCTTTGTTTTCTTTCATCAGCATTTTGTAGTTTTCAGCGTACAAATTCTATACATGTTTTCTCAGTCTTACACCTCAGTGGCCCTCAGAAGACAGTAAGAAAAATAGAATTAGTGGTTAGCATTTTAAAGTTGAGGTGTTTGTATAAAAATTTAGATGTAGAAAAGGAGGAAGGAAGATGTGGCCACCCTAGGCTTCCATCCCCAGCTGGGAGCTGTGGGAGCTGAGCAACGGACACCCCATGAGAAATGCATTTCTCCCAGCCCCCACCTGCCCACTGCCCCGCTGTGTTACCAGCCCGGCTCCTGTGAGCATTTACATTTCAATTCCTGGTCAAGAAGCAGATTTTTAAAAATTCAGCCATAATCCTGCCACTTCAAGCCAGCCACTCTTCCCATTCTGAGATTGTTTTTCCGTGCATGGATATGCTTGTACACAGTTTGAGATATACTCTGTATACAGTTCTCAGGTCACCTCCCAGCTGGAGGTGAGGCCTGCTGGTTCGTTTCCTTGTGTGATTTGTCACTTGTATCATCATCTTGTCTTGGTAGGTATTTTCCATGGTGCCCCGTTTGCCCTGGGTTGTGAGAGTGCCCCTGCAGAGCACTGTGGCATGACATCTGTGCAAGGCTCTGTGACTTCCAGTACTTCCAGCCCATTTTTATATGAATTTTTTGTTTTGAAGTTCCATGAGCCTGGACTCCAAGCCTTCTCAGTCCAAGCCTGATGTCTGGCTGGTTTGTTTTGCTGGTGACTCTTTTCGCCCATGACCCTGGGGGGGATGACAGGATTCCTTGCCCCTTCCCCAGGCCAGTGGGTGGGGTTGTTCTGGGGCCTCGTTCATGGATGGAGTGGCTCCCTGTGACCTGGCCTGATGCAGCGGGCCCTTTCCCCGTTCCCAGCTGCAATGGGCCAGGTGCCCAGTGCCCCTCCTAGATGATCAGGCCCCGTGTGGGTGGTTGTCACACATACCTCCACCCCTGCCCTCCCGGGGTCACTCAGCTCAGCTTCTGCCCATGGCTCTGCCGCCAAGTTGCCTCTTTGGTTTTGGCACCTGAAAATTTTCTTTTTATTGTCATTGTTGCTTTGGTGAGGAAGATTGTTGCTGAGCTAACATGTGTGCCAATCTTCCTCTATTTTTTGTATGTGGGATGCCGCCACAGCATGGCTTGGTGAGCAGTGTGTATGTCTGTGCCCAGGATCCGAACCCCGTGAACCTGGGCTGCTGAAGTGGATCACACGAACTTAACCATTACGCCACCGGGCAGGCCTCTTTTGTTTGATTGTGTGTTTGTTTCTGAGCTTGGTCATATAACTTTACAATCTGCTGGTTTAAAATCAGCATTTCCACGTGTTTGAAGTAGGAAGCGAGATTTTCCATGCAAACTCCTTCTCCTTTATTGACCAAAACTATATGTCACTTTCTGTGTGGGGTTTTTGTTGTTGCTGGTTTAAGATCATGACACTTACCTGTGTCGTTAAAAGTTGTTTACCAATGTCAGTATGAGAGGTTGTATATTCCATTATATGGATCTACCATGATCCGTTAGGCCATTTTCCTAATGTTGAACATTTAGATTATTTCCAGTTTTTCAATTTAATGTAAAAGAACACTTCAGGGAACATTTTTGGCACCTTGCTTTGTTCCCTTCAGGACACACTCCTAGAAGTGACTCGTCTGGCTCAGCAGGCACAAGTGTGGGTGAGGACTCTCGTGCATTCTGCCGAACTGTGGCACAGAGGTCTGGGGCCACCGTGCT